AAAAAAGAAACGGACGTCCGCTTGCCACGTTTCGCCACTGCATAGCTGCATGTATAGATAGTGTTGTTACACGATGAATGCGGAATTTCGTGTCACGAGGGCCGAAACGACCGCGAGCGCATGCGCGACAAAAGGACTCGTGTAATATTTAGAATTTTATTTATAAATATTATTTGACTTACTGTACTATATAAGTATATTATTATTATGTAAGTTTTCATATTTATTCGACAGACGTCGTACGAACTACGAGTCATACGTTACTCGTCGCCGTTGACACGAACATTGTGCCTCGTATATTATGTGCCAAATTTACGTTTTTGTGGTTTTTGTGGTTTTGGTATCCCTGGATTCTGAAAAAATAAAGCTACAATTTGGTAATAAAGATAGAACTTAAATCATCGAATGTCTTTTAAATGCTCATGTTACTTCTCCTTACATTTTATCTTTATTGAACTTAAAAGTTCCTTCTAGACTTACCAAGTAATATACTCCCTTCTTCATTCCGACCTGCACACCAACTATTTTTTCCAAGAACCAATGAGGCGTATCATAGTATGCCAATGCAAACCCACTTTTTGAATTTTCTTAAATTATTTTTAGTTTTCATTTTATTTTATTTTTTAATGAAAATGTTGGTTGTACTATTACTTTTGTCTTTTGTTGTGTTTTATTTTTTTAAATTAGTATTTTGTAACTTAAAATATTTAAAAAGGTAATACACTAATATCCGTTAAATTATAAATAAATAAATAATATCTTCTATGTGCTATCTCCATAGTACAATATTAATGATAATTTATACAATATTTTCACAAAATATATTGAATTTTGATTCCAATATAGGTTAAAAGTTCTAAAATTTGTTTTTGCAGATCATTGGAAATCTTATATTTTTAAACGTTTTTTGTGTGCTCTGAAAAAAATGGACCCAGCATATATGGGAGGTTTTTTCGTGTCAACGACAAACTATGTATTATATAGATCTTCTGCAGTGGGTTTGACGGATTTTTCTTTATTGTGACTATGCTCTTCGCCTTTCCATATTATAATAATTTAATATAATACCTATATATAATATTATATTTTATTGTTGTATTGTACTATATTCAAACGAAAACGTGTCGGTCTTTTGCGTGGTTGAAAGGTACGTTTTTCCGACGTCAAGTGCGTTGTGCTCGGATAATACAATATTATAATAATATTACACTCCGGCGTGGTCGAGACGTTTTTGATTACTTTGCGCGGGCTCTCCACCCGCCCACTCCCGATGACGATGACGGCGAACTGTTCTCAATCGTTTTATTTCATTCCCGATTCAATATACAGCCACCGGGTCGTACTTACGGTAGGTATGCCCTATATATATATATATAAGCCTGAAATTGACGTCGACAAGTCCATGGTGGTTCGCTCAAAGGACCGCTTTTTAATCTCTTTATAACAACTTGCCGTTATCGCTGAAAATACAACGTCGACTGCAAAGTCCGGAATCAGAGATTTTCTAAACATACCTACCTAAAATCGCATTATATTATTATTATAAAATACTAAACGTGTTATGTTATCTTGCCTATATATATGATATTATATAAAAAATAGGCTATTAGTATCGATCAGCGATACCTATATAGATATTCGCGACCAAACGCTAAACCGTATCTTGTGTGTCGTATATGATATTGCGTTATAATATATCTACCCACTTCAGTCTCATAATAAATGTACATTCGTACAGTATAATCGTACTGCACGGTAACGCGTGTATATAATATTATATACGTAGGTATGTCATTAGTAGAGGTTAAGGTTGGTAAAAAAAAAAACCTAACCTTACCTATTCTCGCTTTTGAATGCTTATCGTATGTATGATCTCACGACTTTGCTAGTGATTTAAACACTTTTGCACATTACACTGTAGAAATAATATAATATACGCATAAGGTACAAACAGTATTTTACTTAGAAAAAAAATGAATAAAAGCTGTAATGCAATTTTATTACCTAACTATAGTTATATACCTTATAATGGAAAAGTTAAATTTATTCATAGACATATTCTACTATAAAAATAAAGAAAGAGCTGATATTTCAATGAATATAATATAAATTCTTTCTTTGAAATATAATAAAGATTCTTTTATGAAAAAAATCATCAAATATAATATTATATGAGAGTAAAAATATTTATCTTGATAATAAAAAACATAACATAATAGTTTAAGTGTTATTTTATTAGCAACAATGGATTATTAATTTCATTACCTAGAATGATTTATATCAAAGCAAGCAATATTATTATTGATACTCAAAGACCGAAAATAATTGTCTTTATGTATATTAACATACAATAGATACAGTAATAATTGTATGTTAAATTGTCAATAAAGGAAAAAAAAATAAACTAACACAATTAAGAATTGCATAAATATGAAATATTTTGTAGAACACAAATAATTAAGGAATACTGTAATCTATAAATTACTATTTTTTTACCATATGTTTATCTATTATTATGAACACTAATTATTCAATGTACATTGAACATGTTATAACATACTGTCACATAAATAAATTATAAAATGTCAACTTTTTTTTTATTGAATGTAAAAAATAGGTGTCGAAATGCTGTTGTCAGAACTCAGAACTCTGTCAACAGTTGAACATACATATTATTATATTCATTTTCATTTTCAACGATTTATGTTTAATAAAACCACGTTCCTATTTAAAACTGTAAAGTTGGAACTGAAAGTATTATAATACCATGATGCATAACACGAAGTATACAAAACCTACAAAATAGTAAACACTAAAATAAATATAGAAATTCCGCAGCATGTAGTCATTGATATTATAAGATGGTTATGATGAACTGTACATCAAGAATTGCTAAATCTGTTTGAATTGTAATGTAGGTACAGACGTACAGGGCAAAACAGGAATTTTCTGTTCCAAACATCGATACCATTTTGTTATTATTTTTAATGCATAATTTAAAGTTGTGTATATGTTGAAAATGAGATGTAGATCCTATTGATTGGATAAACATTATGTAATAAATATGTGTCCAAATCTGTTCTTTGCTAAATAAAATAAAGGAGTTCTATTTGTTCGATCTTTTAATAGTAATGAGAGATACCTATTGATAAGTGATAAGTTTTTAAATAGGCCACATTACAATGTTAATTTAATTTGGTAATTTCTTGTAAAATTTACCAGCATTTCGCAACTAGTGAAATAGGCTTTAAAGTACTTACACATTATTTTAAGGATACTGATTTAACACATTATCACTTGAATCTTCAAGAACATTAATATAAATAAATAAATATACATATATAGTTAACAAATAACATTATAACCTAATCAAAAATATTTGAATAATTATCTTGTTTTTAGAGTCCTGCATAGCAGTAATATGAGTCGTGCCATTACAACTATTATGTATTTTTTTTTATACAATTATTAACTATGGTTTGCAACTTAAAGTTAAAGTTAAACTTCCGAGTTACAACAATCAACGTTAATCTTTTTGTACCTCCTATACCTAATAATAAAGATTAATAACAGTACGCGATACATATTATTTTTATAGTCATATTATGCAAATTTTATTTTATACTGTCAATGATTGATATTGATAACTAGGTATTGCTTTGAGGTACCGCTCGATATCTTCATTATAATTTGAGAACCTTATTTCGTGGATATATTCGCACGTACGTTACCCCGGCCCCCCCCCCAATTTGATTTTTGCAATTTTCTTTGCACCAATTTTTAGTGCTCAATTCCTGCCAATTCCTGCCGCAAACCCCGGAATTCCTGCTCTAACGGTTTTCCCGGAAAGTCGAATTTTCCACGGGTGGGGCTGGGGTAACGTTACTAGCCCCACCCACCTTCAAAATTTGACTTTTTGCAATTTTTTTTGCGCCAATTTTTAGTGCTCGATTCCTGCCGATTTTTGCAGCAAACCACGGAATTCCTGCTCAAAAACCGCCTCCGTAAAAATTAAAAAACTATATTTGTGGCGGGGGAAACGTTTTTCCAACCCACCAAGGTCGGAATTCGACCTTTTTAACTTTTTCCAACGCCAATGTTTAGTGCTCAATTTCTGCCAATTCCTGCCGCAAACCCCGGAATTCCTGCTCTAACGGTTTTCCCGGAAAGTCGAATTTTCCACGGGTGGGGCTGGGGTAACGTTACTCCAGCCCCACCCACCTTCAAAATTTGACTTTTTGCAATTTTTTTTGCGCCAATTTTTAGTGCTCGATTCCTGCCGATTTTTGCCGCAAACCACGGAATTCCTGCTCAAAAACCGCCCCCGTAAAAATTAAAAAACTATATTTGTGGCGGGGGAAACGTTTTTCCAACCCCCCAAGGTCGGAATTCGACCTTTTTAACTTTTTCCAACGCCAATGTTTAGTGCTCAATGCCTGCCAATTCCTGCCGCAAACCCCGGAATTCCTGCTCAAAAACCGCATTTAAAAAAAAAACAAAAACCTCAAAAACAGTATTTTATATATTTTTTTTTAAAAAAGCACAGTCGCACAGTATTGTTAGGACCAACCATTTAAAAATCCGTTCACAAAATAAGTACTGGACCAATAAAGTACATATTTACCACAAATAATTTAAACGATTTAAAATTAAAAATCAAACATTTAAAATTTTAAACTGATCATGTAATAGTTTTAGAAAAACTTATTAATGGTGTATTTAATGATAAAATCTGTGGTCAATATTTTTAAGTTTCAGGTTTAGAAAAAATAATATTGATGAAAATAACATAAATTTATTATTTATTAACTAATATAAATTAGGTCAATTGCCTACTTTTAGTATAAAAATCATTATGTAAAAGAACAATACTTAATTTACAATATAACAATATTATACATTTTTAATATTTTTTAAAATCAAAACTTACCTAGATATGGAAATGCACCAATAATACAACTAAATACTGAAAATTGTAAATACTGAAACTAATAAAAAGCATGAACAATGAAAAACAACAACCGAAAGAGCATATAAACATAACACCAGACCAAATTGCACACAAATTATTAATGAATGGGAAAACGAAGACAAAAGGGAAGAAAACTAAGCTTAAATTTAAAATGGATATAAAGAATAATACAAGTGACTTCAATAAACCATTCGAGATGGATGAGCTAAATATGGCCATCGGAGTAATGAAAAATAGGAAAGCAGCGGGCATCGACGGAATCATGACAGAACAGATCAAGCAACTAGGCCCCAAAGCCAAGGAATGGCTACTAAACATGTTCAATAACTGTATCAAAACCGATAGTATCCCAACAGAATGGCTCAAATCACATGTTGTGGCATTATTGAAGCCTGGAAAAGCCCCTACAGATGCAAGTAACTTTAGACCCGTGTCACTATTATGTCATACATATAAAATGTTTGAGAGAATGGTACTGAATAGAATAAAAGACAAGATAGACGGGAAACTAATCAAGCAACAAGCTGGCTTTAGGGCTGGTAAGTCATGCACGGGGCAAATACTTAACCTTGTTGAAGAAATAGAGAAAGGCTATGAGAATAATGTAATAACAGGTGCAGCTTTTATCGACCTCAGCGCTGCATATGATACGGTTAATCATAGATTACTGCTTAAGAAAATATATGAGCTAACTGAAGATGCGAAATTCACAAAAATTATTAGTCTTTTATTAAGGAATAGACGGTTTTTTGTATCATTGCAGGCCAAAAAGAGCAGATGGAGAAGACAAAATAATGGATTACCCCAAGGAAGTGTTCTATCACCAATTTTATTTAATATTTATACTAATGATCAACCAATTGGGACCCAAACGAAGCACTTTATATACGCTGATGACCTCGCTATTACAACCCAGGGCAAAACATTCGAAGAGGTGGAAGTGAATCTGAATGACACACTTAATACTATGAAGGAATATTATAATGATAATTACCTCAAACCGAATCCAGCAAAAACACAAATTACCGCTTTCCACTTACGAAACAGAGACGCCAAGCGGAAACTGAGAATTAATTGGCAAGACACAGAATTAGAGCATTGCGAAGAACCAACCTACTTAGGCATTAAACTTGACCGAGCCCTGACATATAGAAGTCATTGTGAAAACACAAAAAATAAAATAGGAACAAGAAACTGCTTGCTTCAAAAACTGGTTGGCTCTCAATGGGGCGCAGACCCTCATGTCTTGAGAACGACAGCCTTATCACTATGTTACTCGACGGGTGAATATGCTTGTGCTGCATGGAGAAACTCAGCACATGCTAAAAAGGTAGACGTGGCCCTAAATGTAACTAACAGATTAATTACGGGGTGCCTGAGACCAACACCAGTTCAGAAAGTACAAGTATTATGCGGTATAGCACCCCCTAATATAAGGCGAGAGGTGGCAGCAAGGATAGAGAAAACAAAACAAGAATCAGACTTAAGACATCCTCTATATGGAGGTAAAACCATGGGGAGCCGGCTCAAATCAAGGAAAAATTTTTTGAAGACAACAATTAGCCTATCACAAACACCTGAAGCAACGAGAATAGACTTATGGAAGGAGGCAATGAAAGAGCATAACTCACTGCTATGGAAGGATCCGAAGGAAAGCTTACCGACCGGAAGTCACTTACCATGGTCGGTATGGAAGACACTGAATAGATTACGAACGGAAACTGGAAGGACAGCGAGTAATATGAAAAAATGGGGATTGAAAGATGATGGGAAATGCGAATGTGGTGGAGAGCAGGATGCGGACCATCTGTTTGTATGCCCACAATTACCGAATAAGTGTAGAAAGGAAGATTTTTTGACGCATAAAATTTCAGACAAAGCAATACAAATTGCGGCTTACTGGGGAGCGAAGGGAATATGAAGACCGATACGACAAGAAGAAGAAGACTGAAAATTGTAGTATAATGACTATGACTTATGGATTAAATGTTTTTTACACTAAAATATCTACATTCTACATTTTCTAAATTTCCAAAATAATAAGAACCCGGTTGTATTTTTGACATATTGGACTTTGAAAATAAATTAGATGAAGAATACAGTTGAAAAAAACTAATCTATAGAATATAAATTTCCTTTTAAATTATTTTATTATAATATGTAAGGCATAATTATCAATCTGACTTAAGCTACGTATCAATAGGATAGTATTTTTATTTTAACCAATGTCTCTCTGCAAAGTGGGTACTTTATACAAGTAAGAATTATTATGCTATAGGAATATGTACGTAAAAAAAATGTTGAGTGGCGAATCTGTGACATGTTGCATTGTTGCCCTAGTCTAACAAAAAGTGAAATGACGCCAATAATATTTAATATTGTCATATATTATGGTTTTGAGTACTAAATATTGGCGCAAGAAAATTGCAAAAAGTCAAATTTTGAAGGTGGGTGGGGCTGGAGTAACGTTACCCCAGCCCCACCCGTGGAAAATTCGACTTTCTGGGAAAACCGTTAGAGCAGGAATTCCGGGGTTTGCGGCAGGAATTGGCAGGCATTGAGCACTAAACATTGGCGTTGGAAAAAGTTAAAAAGGTCGAATTCCGACTTTGGGGGGTTGGAAAAACGTTTCCCCCGCCGCAAATATAGCTTTTTAATTTTTACGGGGGCGGTTTTTGAGCAGGAATTCCGGGGTTTGCGGCAGGAATTGGCAGGCATTGAGCACTAAACATTGCCGTTGGAAAAAGTTAAAAAGGTCGAATTCCGACCTTGGGGGGTTGGAAAAACGTTTCCCCCGCCACAAATATAGTTTTTTAATTTTTACGGGGGCGGTTTTTGAGCAGGAATTCCGTGGTTTGCGGCAAAAATCGGCAGGAATCGAGCACTAAAAATTGGCGCAAAAAAAATTGCAAAAAGTCAAATTTTGAAGGTGGGTGGGGCTGGGGTAACGTTACCCCAGCCCCACCCGTGGAAAATTCGACTTTCCGGGAAAACCGTTAGAGCAGGAATTCCGGGGTTTGCGGCAGGAATTGGCAGGAATCGAGCACTAAAAATTGGCGCAAAAAAAATTGCAAAAAGTCAAATTTAGAAGGTGGGTGGGGCTGGAGTAACGTTACCCCAGCCCCACCCGTGGAAAATTCGACTTTCCGGGAAAACCGTTAGAGCAGGAATTCCGGGGTTTGCGGCAGGAATTGGCAGGCATTGAGCACTAAACATTGGCGTTGGAAAAAGTTAAAAAGGTCGAATTCCAACCTTGGGGGGTTGGAAAACGTTTCCCCCGCCGCAAATATAGTTTTTTAATTTTTACGGGGGTGGTTTTTGAGCAGGAATTCCGTGGTTTGCGGCAAAAATCGGCAGGAATCGAGCACTAAAAATTGGCGCAAAAAAAATTGCAAAAAGTCAAATTTTGAAGGTGGGTGGGGCTGGAGTAACGTTACCCCAGCCCCACCCGTGGAAAATTCGACTTTCCGGGAAAACCGTTAGAGCAGGAATTCCGGGGTTTGCGACAGGAATTGGCAGGAATCGAGCACTAAAAATTGGCGCAAAAAAAATTCCAAAAAGTCAAATTTAGAAGGTGGGTGGGGCTGGAGTAACGTTACCCCAGCCCCACCCGTGGAAAATTCGACTTTCCGGGAAAACCGTTAGAGCAGGAATTCCGGGGTTTGCGGCAGGAATTGGCAGGAATTGAGCACTAAAAATTGGCGCAAAAAAAATTGCAAAAATCGAATTGGGGGGGGCCGGGGTAACGTTCGTTATATTCGCTTAGCCCTCGAGTTTAATAATGAAATTTTTAAGGCTATTAGTTATTACTAATGTGGATTAGCAGATGTGCTACGCTTTTTAAAAATAGTTACAATTGACAGCATTATATAAATGCTGCATTCTAAGAAGCAGCTCGCCAACGCACATTTCTAATTGATGGATCTGAGTGGGCTATATATTTACACGAAGTTGCTGGAATGCTGGATATCATAATATATGATAATGGTACTCAGATATTGATGTATTCAAAAGCTTAGTAGAAATTGTAGTCAATTTAAACTTCAAGTGATTAATTGGGAGGTAAACAATAATAAAATCAAATCACATTAAGCAATTTTTGTAAAAATAAAAGGAAATATGCAATAATATTTTATTATTGATTAGCTTAAATGAATAAAGATCTTATAAGTTATCACTTATCACTGTTCAATATTTTACTACCTATTACAATAAAAACTTATAATTGACAAGTAGTAATTTATTAAACATTTTTATACCTAACACTCATTACTTATTGACGCATGTACGTGCAAACGAGGGAGCACTCCGTTACTAATTTTTTTAAACAGTCACTTACACAAATGATAATTTACTAGTTACTACGCATACATTTATATGACCCACATGCAAACACATAGAAATTTGGCTATTTTGAGTTCCTTAAAAACGGTTAGTCCTTAGTATTGAAAAAAGACGGATTTTAAGTAGCGTATAGTGAGTGAGTGAGGTTGAAAAATACCGTGTCGCCCATTTATCGACGTTTGCCGGACGATTAATAATAATATAATACAATATAAGCTCCTATCACAGCGTCACTGCCTATAGATGAAATAATAACAATAAATTGTTGTGCAAACGACTCTGACGTTAACGGCGGCTGACGGTTGCGGTGGATGTGTCACTCGGGGCGAGTACTGCTAGTGCTGTTGCTGATGATGGTGGTGGTGATGGTACGCAACCGTGGGATTGAACGAGCTGTACGGCAGTGGCGGCCACATAGACTGCTGTTTGCCGTTAGCTGCGGGGCCGTGACGGGTGATGGAACAAGTGCCGGAACAAGTGGCTGTTGTAGCCTTGTAGGTGGAGAACGCTGCCTCCGTAATGGGGCGACATCCGAGCCGTGGCATCGACAGCCATGCAAGCGGTCGCAGAGACAGCGCTACCGCCGGCGGACGTGTGCGTGCGGAGGTGCTACAACAGTTCTGAAGCTCTGCCGCACAGCGATTCCGCCGTGGCCGATTCGGTGGTGGCAGTAGCGGGAAACGACGACTGCATGTGCAGGGAATCACCCAGCTGCACTTATACGGGCGGGCCACGGGCGCGTAGAACGGGGGCACGGAAGTGAGGACAGGTACCGCTGGTGGTCGCACTGTACCGTCTGTACGCGACCAGTTCACGCCGGCCGCTGCCATCATCGGATGACATTGGGCGTCGAACCTCCAGCGTGGCCGTGGCCACCACATGCTGCTGCTGCTGGCCACACCCGGATGTCGGGCCACCGCACATCGGATCCTTGGAGTCGGACGATGGCGACGGCTTCCCCACCTCGGCCGTGGCTAGAGATACGGCAGCCAGAATCCTCTGCGTGCCGGCTAGGTACGTGGGCCTAAAGGTGGCCAGCGGGTCATGTGATTTGTAAGGTGAGTGAGCGGGCATCGGCGGCGGTGGGCAGAACGCCTTAGCCGTGGCGCCGTACATCACTCGCAGAGCGGACCGCATGATCGGGTCGATAGATAGGCGGTGTACGTGGCAGTCGCGATTTCAGACGATGACGGCCGGCGGCTGCTCTTGTGGCATACACTGCCGTATTCGTCACGGTATTCGGACAATTGACACCCGACGGTTTTGCCGATATCGGACTTTTTGAAGTCCCGATATCTTTAGAACACGGACAATTGACACCGAGTGATTACGATTACAATGACGATAGTCGTGAGTAGGTAAGTACCTATAGGCATTAGGCAATAGTTATTAGTTACTAGTTAAGGCGGCTCTTAGTGGCTATTATTTAAGGGGAACAATTTAGGCAATTTCTAATCTTGTCGTAGCCGCCCGTAATCTATGTGTTAGTCGTAAATGATTATTAGTGTGAAATTCGAAGAAATTCGAACTCGATAACAATAGATTTTATATCGCCCGGCTGCGGGCACACGGTTCAATAGCACACGTACGCGCATGCACAAGTCAACGGAATCACTCTCGAAAAATATTTTTGTACACTCACAACAGTGAAAAATGCTAATAAGCTGGCGAAAAATACACATACTTCTAGTAGTCCAATTTCAATTTTGAAAAATTATTTAAATTTGTCAGCCTCTTTTTTATGATTTGTAGGAAACCGATTTTGGATATTTTAGATAATTTACGTATATTACTGTTCCAAATGACTGCTTGATTTCTCAAATTTAACTTGCACTTTTAAGTGCTAACTAGACAAAAAGATGAAAAAGTTTTTCCTACAGATCATAGAAAAGAGGCTAACGAATCCAAATAAGTATTCAAAATTGAAATTGGACTACTAGAAGTATGTGTATTTTTGGCCAGCTTATTGGTCTAAATGCACGAAAAATCCAATCGTTTAGAGCCGCCTTAATGTCTGTTGTAGTGTAGTGTGTAGTGTGTACTCAGTTTTTTTTAAAGTAACAGATTCATAATATTCATTCAATATGGACTCAAAATGTTCCGATATAATTGAAATAATTAAAACAAAAGTAATAATAAATGATTATATTTATGTGTTCCAAAAAGAAGTTGGCGATGGGCTTAGATATACTTGTGTTCAACGAAAGAAACATTATTGTAAAGGTAGTGTAACGATAAATTCGTCCAAAACCAACATTTTAAAATTTCAAAAACATTCTCATAATCCTGATTCTGCTGAAGCTGAAGTATGTCGTGCCTTAAATGTTATGAAAGAAAATATTATAAACAATTTTGATATTCCTTCTAAAGTGTACGCAATACGCAAAAGAAGTTACCAAATTAACAGACGTAGCTGCTTGTTTGATGCCAAATGAAAATAATGTAAAAAGAAATTTAAGGAGAATCCGTAACAATTCATATCCTACAATTTCTTCCAAAAAATTCGTATTAGAGGGTGAGTGGACGATGATAAATTAATTAACAATACGCAAGTTATGTGCTTCAAAAGGAGACCATCTATGTTTGCTCCGTATATGTGGAATGTCCACAATGCCACAAAATTAGGTTATAGTTGGACTAATAATGTATCAGAAGGTTTTAACAATAAGTTCCAACATTTAATTAGATTTAAACATCCACATATATATATATATATTTATTGAAGCTTTACAAATGATGAACTCCATTACCTCAATGGAGATTTTAAAACTAAATACAGGTATTCAAATAAATTGTAAAATTAAATCAAATGAAGAACGGCTTAAAAACATATGTAAAACTTCTCAATTCAAAACAAATACTAAAATATTAGTTTTTAAAAAACGTATCCTACGTAATTAAACATTAAATTTGAACATTATCTTAAAATTAATGTTTACAAAATCTTTTATCTTTTAATTTTATTAGAATAAACTTTTCAATTATATTATTATATTATACGATTATATACGATATATTCGGTGTCAATTGTCCTATTATTGGGTGTCAAATGTCTCGGGTGCCAAATGTTGAAATGTCCTAGATTCATTCGTCACGTGGCTAAGTGGACTGGCCTGCACAGTTTCCATTGTCTTCCGAGCACTGGTCTTGGGCTGACCGTCGTTGTCGTCGTTGTTGTTATGGCGGTTGTAATGAAGCTGATGTAGACGGTAGGCTGAAGTGTGGTGATGTTGGACTGTATGGCAGTGTCAACATGGTGTTCTCATACGGTTTAAAGATCAACTTTGCTAGTTTGGTTGTGTTCTCCACGTACCTAATCGTTATTGAGGTTAGTCCGGTGGTGGTTGGTTGCCGCGTAGCCCAAGTATGTCACGGCCGCTTGGGGGCTAGTGACACGTAGTGTGGCCGATCGGAAGTGGTGGCTGCCATCGATTATGCACATTGTCTATAACCAGTAACTATTCAGAACATATGATAATTATTCATAAACAATAGTAATAGTGACTAGTTATGTTTTTTTCAATCGTCTTATTTCTTAATTTATATTTATAATTATTAAGTAATTAAAATTTATTTGAACCCAAGTCTTAGAACATAAAGTAACCGTTGACCATTTTTTCATGGTTTCAAGTTTGAATTAATTGATATTATAAGCTTATAATATATTGTAACACTTGAAGATTAAAAATATTGAGTACCTATCTTAACTAAAATGTCAAACATAACTTTTAGCTATGTACCTATTATATGTTCAAAGTATATTATTACCTACTGGCTACTATATATAGGTACCTACATATGGATACTTTTGGATTTAGAGTTGGTAATGAAATTAAGACACACAACTTACCAAAGTCGTTTCTTTTACTGTCTTGGTAATCGAATTGGATGCAATACTATCAAAGTATCCCATTATATTGTCTCCTTCTGCCATCTGTTGTACACGCAAGTCGGTAATTTGCGCAAGATACGTGCCAATGTAATTGTGCTTTTACAAACAATATCGTTGTTGTAAACGATAATGTGGCCTGGCCCCATCGTGTCTGCAAAAGCATATAAAGTCAATATTTTTAAAATCTTTACTTAATGTAGTTTATAGTTATTCTTCACTGAGTATGTAAAATAAGCATTAATCGCAGCTTTATTGTATACGTTTTATCGTGAGTCACAGAGGAAATTCAGTTTAATCGTTTCAGATTTGTAAGCAATATTTAAACACAAATATATTTTATTCTCAATAAGAGAGATAATGTCTCAAATATCACTTATCACTTATCAGTCATATATACGATTATAACAGTATGATTTTCCATCGATCATATTAATATACAAAATACATACGGGTAATAAGAATTTTTTATCTATTCATGGTTTTTTTTTCTTTGAAATTCGTCAAATTATTATAGGTACCTTATGGCTTATTCGATGGTTAATAGGTACGTTTATTTATGCTCGATTATGAGATCACGATAATACAATTTTACATATGGACACTAAATAGAACATATAAAATTGTATAATATGTTTATAATACCATATAACCTTATAGGCTTATTTTTTATATTCGGAATAATGCATAAGGTTTAGGTATTTTAAAAAAGCTTATCTTCGCTTCATGTCAATACGAAACGTAGGCACAACTGACAACTGCAGTACAAGCAATCACTCATCATGTTCTATAATATTATACATTATATATTATGCAGTAGGTAGGTTAGTAAAGTTAGACTAAATTACTAATTATTAAAATTTAAAGCTACATATTTGTTATAGTCGATAACAAATATATCTATAAATATAAATATATCTGTGTATTATTATACACCTCAATACATACCTGTAATAATTCTAAAATTGATTTGTTATGTACAGGAATGAGTTTGATTGAATAATTAATAATTATATTAATTAATTATAAGCGTAAGTAACATATTATAATATTATAGCATTTAGAAAATTTTATACTATTTGAAATAACTAATGCCGAGGCGCATAAAAAAATGGTTGATTTAATGTTTTACTAAAATGTAATGGACCAATCATGTGCTTCTAAATCATGTTCAAGAGACCAAATTAGATAAATATTGATTCATTAAATGTTTAGAGTGGTTATCTATACGACCCTGCATTAGTTTTTCTGTCCCATTCCATAATTATGTAATACACTAATGTCAAATGGTATAATACCTACTATGATGTCCCTATAAAATTAAAATAACGTAATCGACTTCCGTACGCCGTCGGAATAATACATAATCGGGTTAGGTACCTACTACATATGATGCTAAAGCAGCTCAGTCAAAGTGCATTGAAGTATTCGGGAATACTTTGAACATTTTTGCAGACGACGTGTGCGTATGAAACCAAGGTCGTATGCAGGACCTATTTTCGGGAGGGGGAGTTGAACCCTTAACCCCTCCCCAGGCATGGCCTTTTGTGAAATAGGGCACATGTTTAAATTCACCGTTTGTCGTTAGATTAATATAATAATATTATATTATATTTAAAATGTTATATATATATGTTATGTATATTGTCTGGATTCTAAATTTTTTTTAAAAGATAGCTGTAAGTATACCTACTGTTGTGACATCGTCCGTCAAAATATTAACATGTATGTATATACGTCTTTTTTTTGTACGCATTGCATACGAATCGTATGATGCGATCCACGGTACCCTTGTGAAATTTGTTAGACTTTTTTAAAAGTTTACTGTTATCATTGCGCTGCTAAGTCCACAAGGGTATCCGAGGTGCCTATTATAATATATTATGTCATACGTCGTATATAGGCGACATAAATACTAAATATTACAAAGTGTCCGGACACGAAAAACATGATTTAGCCAAGAAATTTCGTCAGCACCTCTTAATGGTGTGCAGGGGATGAAGAAGGGGTTACGCTTTTTAAGACGATATTCATATTAACCGACCCATTAGATTTGGCAGCGGATACGCCACTCCGCATGCGTAAAGTGCCTGGTCGGCCGCCAACGGAACGTGTCACTCGTCGTCGTCGTCATTGTCGTCATCGTCGTCGTCTCGTTATTCGTCTGCTCAGCCGCAAAACAAAATTGCACCGTAGCCAATAAATTACTATTTACACGACCGTACCCCGTCATAATACCGGGCGGTGGCAAACGGAGTGGAATCCAGATCGCGTTTCCCGCCGAAATGCCAATTTATAAATGGACCGTATAAGCGTCACCGAGGTATGATGTTCAGTACGTGGTTGCAGATGTCGAGTCCTCAGAATAGGCAGCACTGCAACGACGGTGCCGTACTACATTAGAAAATAATAATAGTAATAATAATAATAATAGTATACATTTGTGGGGAGGGGAGAGGGAGAGAGGTCCACGACGGGTCTACCAAACTCGATTTTTTAGACGACTTAAGATCACTAATTAAGATATACCTACAGGGTACGGAACGACATCTCTCTATCAAAATTAATTTGAAGTCGGAATGTTCTCAATTTCCAAAATAACTAGGTACTAGCTAGCGCTCTCACAGTTTTCTTTTGGTCAATAGTAACCAACGGTAGAACACAATACGTGCAACATAAATTGTTCACAATTATGACATAAGTATAAATGTATATATTGTTGTATATTGTTGTGGTCAAGAATGTGATTCACATATTTGTGGGCTAAAAAAATATAGACTCTAAATAGGCTAATTAAATTTATATTATTGAATCCCATGTATTACAATGTTGTAAACAATAATTCTGTATATTTAGAACTCATAATATAATGTACCACGCATTCATGTAAATTATATTTTAGAAATATTTTATTAAGCTTCTACTGGATTACAGGTGTAATCTAGCCAAGGGGATAATCACTCCTATAATACTCGTTATACAAAAAATATCATTATTTGTTTCCATATACCAACATTAACATCAAGACGACTCGGCGCGGGCCCGGCTGCTCTGGTCACACCAGGAGCGATGGACGACGACGACGGCGGTGTGGCTAGCTGTACCGGCTAGGGCAACTATACCGCCCCATGCAACGGTACCACGACGATGGCAGAGTGCACGAATGTGACTCGCAAAACACAACAGGTGAGCGATACAGCTGAGCTAGAAACATGGACGTCAGCATCGCCGGACTCGTAGAAACGGATAACGTTCCAGGGTACGGTGATACGTGACTCCAGGACGGCCACTGGATGGTGACGAGGTCGAGTCACGGCCGCTTTGCTGTACGGTCCTATACGATACTCTCCCATTTTCGCCCAGCAGCAATCGGTCGAGTCACGTCTCCGGTCACCGTCGATTCCGTAGCACCGACAACTGCCTTTGCTCGCTCAGTGTTTTAGGTCGCCGTCGTCACGCATCAGTCGTCTTCAGTACCTGCGCATCGTCTATGCGCACGACATCACGCACTAGCCACTCTCCGTCAATCCGTCTCATCGCTCCCGT